AAATTATATTGATGTTTAAATCATAAAGTGAATGATAAATAATAAATATATTATAAATATTTTATAAATTTTACAATCACCTACTATTACCGTAAACTTATTATTTATTAATAATATTTAAATTTTATTTTTATATTTTAATTTAAAATAATATTTTTCTATGTAACATATGTATTACAAGCACAACTATAATTTATTGAATCTAAATAATATTATTCTTACTATTTATTCACATGCAAAGAAGTTTTTGAAAGGATATAAATATAAAAAATTATTGTTAATTTTTATTTGTTAATTTTTTTTAAGATAAAAAAGTATAATTTTTTTAATATACACGTATATTTCTTTATTATAAAATTTTATTGTAACTATTTATCTTTTATTCAAATTCTTTTTTTTAAAATTTATATACATTATAAATATTTAATTCACTAAAATAATTTTTCAAAAATTTATATTTTTGATAAAATACTTTCGTATAGTATATGAGTTAAAAAATACTAGTATTAATATATACATATATATATATATATTAATTATATTATATTATTTTAATTAAATCTATTATTTTTCTTACAATTTCAAATTCAAAAGTTAAAAAAAATATTTTATGTATCAACTTTCTGTTATTAGTATTGAACTTCTCTACTTTAACTCTATTCTCATTCTCAATGTCTGTCTCACTAAAACTTAATAACTATGAAATGTTATTCATTAGAGATAGTTGTTAATGCCGTCACAAGAGGTTACTAAGTGATCCCACACGAAGAGACAACCATTGTATAGATCTATTTCGTTGTCGTTTTGACGTTACCAACAATCAAATCTCACACAAGATATAATTATCACTCACAAATAACTTGTGTGTTTAGTTTTTGCTTATTGTTTCTAAGAATTTTAGTTTAGAAAATTATTATATTAAGATACATTTAACATTTATGATTTTTGAATATTTGTTTTTTATCTATATTTGTACCTTGTTCGGCAACTACATGTTGAATTTTTGTATTATTATGCTACTTATGTGAAGTTATATAAACATATTTTTCTTTATAAATATTTTTTTCTCAAACAAGCGCGGGTAATGGGTACAAGACGGGTATACGGATACCCAGAGGGTACGGGTACGAGAATTAATATTCATACCCACGCGGGTATGGGGCCGGGTATGGGTATTTTTTTAAAACGCGGGTATGGGGATGGGTATTATAGTACCCTACCCATACCCTACCCATTGCCATCCCTACCTGCTAATGACCAACTTATGGGTTATATTAGTTTGATTATTTTTTGATTCATACAACATTACACACTATAAAAAAAATTATGTGCAATAAAATTTTATTATAATTATAGAATTTAATATATTTAAATGTATTAATATTATTAAATATTATATTTTTAATATATTTTATTATTTAATAATTTTCTTATTATGTATAATGTTACATAATATAACATCATGAGATATTTATAGTCGTAAAATATTTATTAAGTTGAAGGAAAATTTTTATTATATTACTATATGATTAATTATAAAGTGAATGTTAAACTTAAAAAAAAAACAATTCAAAGGAGATTGAGAAGGAAAAAAAATAACAACATATAAAGTAAATGAGTGGATGCTAAAAAAAAAAAAAAGGACAAAAAATGATACTACATGCAAGAATAAATTAAATAATTGATTAAAAACCAAACTGAATGAAATTATGTGATTTATACGACTGACATCCTAATAAAATAAAACTTTATTACTGTACAATGTTATAGAAATTTTAAAAGATATTAATTTAATCTTAAAAATTATGTTAAAATGTTAAATAAGATTATAATTCATTAGAGAATAATTAACTTATTAAAATTGACTTTAATAATATAGTTTTATATATAAAAATAACTTATTAACATAGACCTTCGTCAATAAATAATGTATTATATTATTATTTAATAATATATACTAAAACTTTGTAGTTTTTTACTCTAAATTACATGTATTTGTTATTAGATATAATTTTATTTAAACTGAGTAAAATTACTATGTGTAGCAAAAATTAACCTCAAAATATTTATTACAATTGTATTTACGAGAATTTAAATTTGAAACTATTTATTAAATCAGAATATTTTCTTATTAATTTATCTATGTGTTTAATGATAACACCAAAGTTATTTTTTAGGATGGAATATAATGTTTAATATAAATTCAAAAGTGAAACTGTTGATACTACTAGTTTTTTTTACTAGTTTAATTTTTGCTAAAAGAATTAATACCGATATATACTAATTTAACATTTAATCATTAATACATTATAATTTTTTTCAGTAAAATCGTTATTAGAAAATCATCAGATAATCCACAAAAACTATTATTAAGGTAAAGAAAGTAAAGCATATATAAAATTTTCTCTATGAAAAAATGTAATTAAATTTTTATTTATCAAGTAAAGAAGATGACTACTAATGCTCATGATTTATATATAGATGAGATAATATTGTCTCAAGCTGACGAAATTAGTTTTTTAATAAAATTTGAATTAAAAATATTACTTAGAAAAGTATACATGTATAACAAGTCGAACCAATGACTCGTATACTATACGCATTTTTTGGCCATAATCTCCCAGCGTTATAGAAACATTAGTTGCATAAATCTTGATGGTGGGTGGATGCAAGATTGAATCTACGGATAAGTCACACAATCTGTTGTTTGCTTGTTGAGGATATTTCAAAATTTTCGAATTCGCATTGAGAAGGACCTATGTTAATGTTAAGGGAAAGGCTATATTGTGGGGTTATTATACCTACGTTGATTGTTTCCTTGTCTGGTAAGACGTGGGTCAAATGTTTCAATGCATTCTTGCAGGGTGTGGTGGGAGCAGGAAGAGTGGAGAAGAGCTGTGAGGCGCAAAAACAAGTGAGGGAAGTGCCACCGACAGGCATATTTGACCCTTCAAACACACAATAGAAAATCTTAAAAGGAGATCACCTTGTTTGGTATAGACGAACTTTGTTCATATTTAATTTAAAGATGGTTGGTTGCCACACAACTTGTGTGGATCTGTGTTTGCTTGACCAAACAGTGGCATGCAGTAGGAGGTGGACAGTAATTCACTGTTAGAAGAGTGACATGATTATGACTATTGACTATCCCCATAATATACAGAAATTCCACCATTCTGGGGTCATATCAGGGCAAAACAATAAATGTTTTGTTATAATTTAATTTTAATAAATCCTTTGATGCTTAATGTATGGCTTATCAGATTTTTTTGAAAAACACTCATTTACATTTTGAAATTGGTCTAACTTTAAAATTTAAATAAAACCAAAATTTCAAAATATTATTTTAAACATAAACAAATTTTAAAATCAATCCCTTTAACCTTTTTTAAAATAACTTTAATCAAAATTTTATTGAAACTTGTTAATTTCGGGCAACCTCTATATTAATCTTTGTTTTCGGTCGTGGACAATTGCTTTTACTTAACATACTTAAAAAAGTAACAGTTCTCTCCCCCTCTCTCTCTCTCTCTCTCTCTCTCTCTCTCTCGGACAGCAAGTATAACAATGGCGATTAGTGCTGGGCTTACATGGGTTGGGTCAGCCTAGTTATCTAGCACTTGGCCATTTATGTCATCACTATACCAGGCCTATACTTAAAAGGATGGTCAAGGATTAAGCTTTTTGGAGGGCTAATTTCATTTTTTTTAAATGTTTTATTTGTTGATGTGTGTGTGTGTGTATATATATAAATTTTTTTATGCGTGTAAGAGTTCAAACTAATAATGAATGATTAAACTCAAAATTTGTATTATTAATTTAGAACAAAAGTTTCATGAAATTATTTAGAAAAAAATGAACTTTACAATTTTAATTAATTAAAGGATTTTATTGTAAGCTAATTTTTAAATCCACTCGCAGTTCCTCATATTATTAGCACTCGATTTGTTTCGTAAGGTAGATATTTAAAATGACAATATTCCGATACTTTTATTTTGAGGTTTTGTTAAGAGTAAATAATAAACAACTAATAATAATAAAATTTTATTAAAAAAATAATTTTTTTTTATAATTTTAATATAATATATATTAGATATATGATTTTGTCATATTATTTTTTCATTTATAGACGCTTATTCAGCGCTAAACTAGGAGGCTGAAGTTATCAATAACTTTATTTTAAAGATAAAAAACTAAAATTTTGCCACATGCATCATTTATTTAAAATTCTTGAATTTATATTTTCAATTAATTTAATTTATGACTAAATATCAACCTTTATATTACGAAATACTAGGTATTTTCAAAAAGAATGCGAAGGTGTGAGAAACCTCCTTAATGTGGACTTTCTTTTTTCTTTTTAATTTTAGAAAATAATGCACTTATAAACTTATATTATTACTCATCAATTACAATTTATTCTTTTCACGATAAAATTACTGTTTTAAATGAAAATTTTATATTTTATGCAGGTGTACGATTATGAATTAAAAATTACCTGGCTTTTGAACGAAATTTTCTATTTGACTAAAAATGTTGAAAAAGAGAGTCAATTAAAGCATGTAGTTTTTTTTAAGTGTTGATGAAATCAATCCAAATGTCACTGAAGATGTAATAATGTAAGAAATTAATGACATTCATATCGCAGATGCAGAAAGTGAAGCTCTAGATCAAAGATTAACAATTGAACTATATTTAACAACATGCGAAAACGAAAACTAAGAAACAGAGAACAAAGGAATATGCCATAAATGTTTGAAAAATAGAAAGTAACACGACATTTCTTTTGTTGAGGGAAAGATATTGAAATGATACACTGTTATAAACATAAAAATTTCAATGCTTTTCTATCACATTTATGAATTATAAAATGCACTAAACCTATAGTGAAAAAGCATATGAACCCATTCCCCAATCTTTCTTTATTAATGCACAAATGCTCCTATCCTCTTCTGACCCATGCATGTGCTTTTGGAACTTGTCCTTGCGCAGACACAAAGTTAATAATCTGATTTGCTATTTATATCTGTACGCAAACCAGAATTAAAATTAAGGAAAGAGATGTTATTCACAGTTGATGGCCTAAACTCTAAAGGATTATTCCATTGCTCTAGTTCATTGTTTGACCATCTCATTTCAACATTTTTAACCTCAAGACCTTCAATGTGCTCCATCATGATGCCTGCAGTTCTGTGTTTAACCAACTCTTGGCATCCTGGTCTATAGTCCAATAACCCACCAGCATAATTGGTGAACCTTCTAAATGTGATATCCATGTTGATGAATTTCAAATTTCTTAGCAATCCTTTCTTTGAACCAGACAGGAAGATGCCATTTTCAGAATTTGCAGTGATGTTAATGAAAAGTATATTTGAGATTGATGCCTCCTTTGAGGTTGAGTCTCGTGGGCAAGTTGTGACATAGATAGGCTCTGCTCTCCCCCACCATGATGGATCATAGTATCTTGTGCTGATATTTATGTTTGAGAATACAATGTCACTTACATTTCCTGCACAAGGAAGTTGAAAGAATTTCATACTTATGTTCAAGGCTAGATCATTATTTGCACAGGCTAAGATAATAATAATAAGCGAGCTCCTGTTAATCAGGCACTAAAAAAAGTGTGAGGGTTACTAGGCCAAGCTCAAGTAAGCTACAAAAATGTTCAAGCGAAATGCTGGTAACATAGTCTTTGAAACAATTTCTAACACACTTCATTGGTTGAAAATTCATGTGACCTACTACTGAATTGGGAGTAAAACTCATTAAACAAGATATAAGATACAACTCATTAAGTAGGAGATACACAAATTTCAATCAATAACAAACACTATGTTGGAAAAAGTAGGTCAAGGACTATATTACAAGCATTCCTCATATGTTAAATTACAAATTTAAGATATGTTTGAACTTTGAAGAGATATTACGTCAATTACATATAGGCATGGCAAGAAGAAATTAAAAAAACAATGAACTGGGTTAGTGCGGGTTTGATTCAGCTCATTTTGGATAAGTGCTTGCTTACTTTTACCATTGTGAGAAACTTTAAAAAATAGGCGATTATTTCTCTGAAATAAAACAATTGATTATAAAACACGGGCCACGTATTTTAGGTACATGTTTTGCATTCAACATTTTCGGGTAAGAAAAAAATTCAGTTAGTTTCGGATGCAATAATGTATCTAGTTACCTCCATCACGGATCTGGAACCCAAGGCCTCTGTGAGAATCAACAATGGTGATATTGTCAAACACAAAATGCTTGAAATCAAACCAACTAGCACTGCCAAGTTTAATTGCAGAAGATTTGGAACGAATCCAACAATTGGTGACTGTGAGGTTGTAAACAGGGCCTGTGGATGACTTTGGACAGATTGCATCATCCCCTGTGTCAATGTGGCATCCAGTGATTACCGTGTTGTTTGAGTCCTCAATGTCAATTCCATCGTTGTTTGGTATATTCAAGTCCCCGTATATGTCAATGTCGTGAATGGATATGTTTTCACTTCGTACCAAGTGTAAGCTGGTAGTTAATATAAACTCTGTTAGGATGTGGAAAAACGTGACAATCAAAATTTAAAACTAGTCTAAATGTATAACTTATGGTGAGAGAAATGCTGCTGATATCTGAAAAAAACAAGCTAGTATTGTTAAATTTAGAATGAGATCGTGTTATTTTTGTAATTTTTTAATAAATTATAATGAATATTAAATGGTGTATTTGAAGAAATACATCAGCAGCATTTCTCTCACCAACATTGAAAGACTTTTACTTGCTAAAAAAACTTGAAAAAAATTGTTAAAAAGAAAAGTTGATACAAATAGAAAAAAAGTTAGTTCCGCACCACCAGTAAGCAGGTTGGTTAAGCGTAACGTTGGAGACTCTAACGTTGTTGCAGCCGAGAAAACCGACGAGTCTGGGTCTGCATTCGTCTCCCAAACAAGCACCTGTTTGGTTCCAGCTAACCATAATGTTCTTCCTCGGATCTTCTCTCACCACGAACTTCGCTGCTTGTCCGTCCACCACTCCGCCGCCGCTGATTCCGACGTCCGTCGCGTTCTCCGCCACCACCACGTACCACCGCGACGAATCCTTCGGGTAGTCCTCTAGCCTCGTGCCGCCAAGGATGGTGGCTCCGCTCTCCACGTTCAAGATCACGCCGGATTTCAGGAAAACAGTTGCCGTTAGGTATTTTCCCGGCGCCGGGAAAGTGACATGGCAGGGGCCACCGTCCGGGCAGGAGTCGATGGCGGATTGGATTGCTGCGGTGTCGTAGCGGAGGCCGTCGCCGGCGGCGCCGAAGTCGGCGACGGAGAGGGTAATAGGGATGGGGGTAAGAGGGTGTGACGTGGCGAGGAGTGATGGGGTGAGAAGGAGTAAGATGATTTGGAAAGGGAAGAGTGGTGGCTTGTCCATTCTGGGTTTTGGATCTTCCCTGGCTTTGTTCAATGGATGTTATTGACTCCTGTTTCTTTTGGATGAATAACTTAACTAGGGGTTTATTTAAACTTTTTCTTGTACGTATTTAATTTTTTCAGTTTATCATGTGATGAGACAGGAGAATAAATTCTCTTACATTAAATTTAACAGCATAGAATTATGTTCAAAATATGTATCTATTTCTCTTAAATAAGTAAAATTTACAATATCTTTTATCCATTGTTGGCATCTCAAATTTTTTTGTTAAGGTTCAGTAACTAACAGGATAAATCTTAAATGGAATATTACTATGTTTGATATTCTATTTTAATTGAATTAAAACTTTATCTTAATAACTTGCATTATCTTTTATCCATAATATTACACCAAAATTTTGTACCATAAAAAATAATCACAACATATTTTTTCCTCAACATGACAAACATTGCTTTTTTTGGGTCAAGACAAACATCGTTTTTCTCAACTACTAAATCCGCGCCAATATTGGCAAGCCTTAGCGCGGATTTGGTAGTTGGAATCATTGTACAAGTGGCCCAACGTGTTTATTAAACTTGATTCTTCAACTGGGCTTCACTGTGAAGATGAATATGCAGGAAATGAAACTAAGCTGTAATGGAGTGATTCCACCAACCACTCGGTGTTAGGTTAAAAAAATAGTATAAAAATGAAACAGAAAATGGTAATGGGCTTCATACAGAAACAACTGCGAATCAAGTGACAATGTACATTATGCCATACAATAACTGCTATCCAATTCTGTCATCGGTATTAACATGAACTACATTTTTCACGGCATTGTTCAGGACTCCATCTGGTGATTGTGCACTCTTCAATGGTATAGTTTGACAAACACGATGGAGAATCATCACTATTACCATTTTTCATGACATGTATAACCAATAAGATTTTTGCTACACTTCCAAGAAGTCTTGTTGTACAATGAACATCAGACCATACTCTCAATCTTCCATTCAGATCTTTATCATCCTCATCACACATAACAAGCACACCATACTCAGAATGAACCCGAGTTGGATGATGACGATAGACAATGAAGTCTACACCATACTGACCTCCTGATCTCACTACCCAATTTTTCATTCGAAGATGTGAATAAGCCTTGTAGAAACAAGGGAATGTTTCTTTCTTGCACTTCATGTAATGCCATAACTCTTTATTATTTTGAGAACTAGTATCACTGCCATTAATCTTAAGGCATTTCAAGGAATATATTAGGTAGAATGCTTCCTCAAAGCTTAATTGAAACCATTGTTTGTCCTTTTCAACTGTTCTCACTGGTCGACCAAAGCATGCTTTATCAAGCAGTTCAATTTGTTCTGCTCCCACTGCTAAGTGTACACTGTTATCAGAGAGAAATCCACAAGTATCTGATTGAACTAGAGAAGATTGAAGTTGAGATATAATTTTTGACATCGGTTCCTTAAGTGCTTCAGCTTCTGCATCCTTTTTAGCTTTCATATCTTTTCCTTTCCATCTTGTTGCCATTTGGCCTTACAAAATTAGTAACAGATGGATCGATTCCGAGTCAATGTCAATATAACAAAAGCTCAATAAAAAAGGTTACGATTACAACAATAACGACCAAATCTTATCTCACTAGGTAAACTTGGCTACATGGATCAGCGATGCTATTGAGCTAAGTAAAAACCAAATTAAGAAAGAAAAGTAATGACAGGAGATAGAAATTTTCTTGCAAGGGAAGGGGGGAAGAGGATTCAAGTTCCCAAAGAAAAAAATCACCAGAATGCATGGGAAAAGGTCCACCTCATTAACATGCCAACCCAACAAGTCATTAACATGAGCAATTCTGTATACTTACTGCTAACATATGCAACCATCAAGTAAATATGATCCAAAGTCCTCATAAAGATTACAGTACTTATTCAAATTATACCAGTATCCTTGAAAGGATTGAAAAAAAAAAAAACAAAAATTAAAGGTGATCTAAGTACACAGAGAAAGGTTACAAAAGTTACTAAAATATAACTAAACGCTTGACTAATATATAACACTTAGTTTTAATACATATGCTGACATCAAAATGGCCTAACTGTCTTTTAAACCGGCTTGTGTACTAAACAAGAGCAAATAACCTTTGATCTCCCCCCACCCCTAAGAACAGGAAATGATTAAACAAATAAACATCCAATACTTCCAGCTTTATTATATTATTATAGCAGATCCTTTTCATTCATTCCACTGATTCCCAACTAAACTATTGAATTCATATTTTTCCAAAAATAATTCTTTTTGGCAAACATCCTTCGAAATTAAAGCAGCAGTGTTATCTAAACAGAGTAATAAAACAATCCAATCTCAGAGTGCTCCTCATCAACTTTAGCAAACATTAAAAATCTGAGGATACAACAACATGGCTATTGATTCATGTAGCAAAGTAAATGGGGGCTAAAACTGACATTCGACAAAAAAGGTTTAAAAAATAAAATGGGCAGCATTTGACCACATTCATGATCCAGATTTTATTATGGCGTTTGGATTTGGATCCAGTTTAACACAAATTGGAGTGCAGACAAAATACAAATGAAAATATGTTTGAGCATGGTAGATAAAAGCCACTTTAAACAGAAGTAAACAGATACAGAGCATATGAAGAGAGTCCTAACTCTCCCTATTTTCCCATCATCACATGCATCAGAGTAATATCCAATAATCACTCTTCTACACTGTCTTAATCATTGCTTAGATTATTAAACAAATAAATATAGAGAAAGTTATATTACCACGCTTTACGTCTCTACCTCCAAACACGCGAGAAAGAGAGTCGAAGAATTAGAGCACCGCGAATAAGCGAAGCAGAGAGATGGGCCACCTTATGAAGTTGTTACTTGTTAGTGATTTGGACCTAACATCTTAGGCTATTTAAATACAAATTGGGCCATTGACCAAAATATAAACAATGGGCCAGTCTAGTAATCCAGCTTTAAAATTTGTTTTTAGTTTTTGGATTTGGATTGAAGCAAGGACAGGTGGCACATGATTTTGCCTTTCTTCATCTTCAGAATCGCCTCCACCACTCTTATTTAGTTCAATCTTAATCTCTTTGCCTTTTTTCCTTTCTTCAAGATTGTCTTTTCCAAGCTTTTCCATGTACTTTGCTCTTTCTTCTTTTGTTTTTGGTCATTTTATTTTGCTCATTCTTTAAGACCCTGCTGTATTGCTTTGCGCCTTTTGGCCCAGCCCTTTATTATCGATTGTTTGCTTCAAACAGAGGATCCATTCAAAAGGGTTTCAAATTGTTGAAAAAAACAAACGGTTTTCAAACTCTAGCTAATATGAAACACAATCGTGACAAAAAGAAAAAAAAATTAATCCCAAGAGTAAAAAAAATACAAGATTATACCCAATGAATGGATGGACAATTAGCAATTAAATCGGGACTAAAAAGGTTTTTAACCCTTTTGGAAACAAATCCCTTATTCTAATTTCCAAACGCTAGAATTAATAATAGATTACTAATAAGTATCTCGTATAATGCACCTATTATATGTATAAAAGAAACAAAAAATTAAATTTTAAAAATATTATTTTATTGATGCTTTTTAAATTTATTGTATTTAAAGTTAATTGAAAAAAATTAAATGGTGACTAATAAAATTAAAGAAAGTAAAGATGTACTTTATTTGAATAATTAATTAAGAAATAAATGAATAGATTTGATTTAATCAGAAAGTTCATGAATAAATCTCAATGTAAAAGGATATTAGTTTGATAAGGAAAAAAAGTATGATTAGAATTGACAAAAATTAAGAATGAAATAGTTGATTTGATATATAACTATGGATTGAAAGAAAAAGCTCTTACCAAAAGGGATCTAGATTCACTCTAGTTGTGACAAAAATTGGACATTAAATGAGTCATCATCGAGAGCACTAAGGAAAGACAAAGAACTACTGAGAAAGAGACTTGGCCCAGCATGAACCCACTCCGAGAGTTTCTTCATCTATAATGGCGGATGGGTCATCGTTGAGAGCACCAAAGAAGGACAAAAAACCATTAAAAAAGAGACCTCGCCCCTAGCATGAACCTACTTCAAAAGTTTCTCTTTCCCAAATGCTGATTTTCAATGTCCTTGCTCACCTCACAAGGTACGATAAATTGCAAAATAGGATTTTGGGTCAGAGCAAGTTTATTGATTGGAATGTTTTGCAAGAGTATAATTTGGATGAGGAGGTGTGGGAATTAATAAGATGTGGGAGTTAGGAGAATTTATTTGTCATTATTGAACCCACTTATAAAGAGCTAACTTTAGAATTTCTAACCACTTCAGTTATTGAAAAGAAGTTTTCTAGTTGAGATTTTGCAAATTTTATATAGTTTCACATGATCAGGAAAATGTATAAGATGGGTTTCCTGAATTTTTTGTTTGTATGAGATTGTATACATCCGACTTTGTGCTCACTAAAGAGTACAAAAGCTTGCCCAATATTCCTGTATTAGGTTGTTCTAACAAGGATTTTTGGAAGAAGGTTAGTGTTGCTGATAAAAATTGGAACTCCACTCAGTACAAAGCCTCTAAATTGAAAAAGCCTGCTTGGAGATTTACACATACATTATTAGCTCATACTTTGACAGGGCGAAGTCACAACTTTGGCATTGTTGGCACGAAGGATTTAGAATTCTTGCGAAGCATGATTGAAAAGATTCTCATTCATCTTGGTATTTGTCTAGCAAAGTTTTTATTTTCTCAAGCTAATGATGATCGTATGGGTTGCACTTATGCTAGACCGCATGTCACTTGGTTAGCTAAGAGTTTAGGAATTCTTAATAATGAGTTTACTTTCACTTTGGTTAATAATATTGTTCCCATTCTACAAGACATTATGAAAGTCATGCACTTTGAGTTGGCACCTGCAGTTGTCCAGGATAATGTGAATGACCTTTTTTTGCCATCTTGGAGAATCTTCTTGCTCTCCTGCATCTGCTGAGGCTCCAAATCCAGTATAGTTTCAATTGCAGCAAATCATTAAATCTCAGCAGATTTTGGAGAACAATCACCAAGACTCCATTACTAGGTTGGCAAGGTTGGAGTCCACTATTGAGGCCAACTTTGCTGCTCTATTGGTTATTTCGGTATTTTCGCAACTGTGGCCCTGCCTCCTACTATATCTCCTTCTACTAGATTTCATAGCTCACGTGAGATGCTAGTGCAGAGTTTTATTGTAAATTTAGGATAGTACTAGGTTTCTAATCCTTTGATTTTATGTATAATTTGATATTTCTCTCTGTTACAATTGCACTTGCTTCTTTTTCTCTTATTCAGTTCTGTCTGAAGCTACAAAGGTTGAGAGCAAACATTTTTTTTTAAGAATTAAAAAAATTCTTATCCAATTTGATTCTTGGTTGTCAAAAATAATTTTGATCTGCAACCATACATCAACCATTTGTTTTGTTTTGTATATCTACCTTTACAGTTTATTAAAATCCACCATTTGCTCTATTTTTATAGTATTTTTAGGATAAAATATAGATAGATCTATTGTTCATCTTAGCTTCAGACTTACCCTGAATCTGAATGACATAGTGAAATTAAATCACTCTTTGACGCATAAGCAAAGAGGGCGAATCTCAAAGACCCCATTCCATTTGCTATTCAACTTATTTGAAAGCAAATCTTATCAGATAAGTAATAGTCTTCTGACAGAGTTAATGTAGAGGTAATTTTATCATATCAACAACTTATATTTGATATAAATTGTTTTCTTTTACTATTTTTTTTCATACTTTAGGTGGAATAGTCCATTGTCTGTAGGATTTGTTGTTGAGGAGATGGCTTTTATCCTTGGATTGAGTACCCAAGGAGACAAGGTAGAAGTATTGAGCAATAGTAGTTGTCCTTCTGAAGTCCTGAGACTATATGGTGGTAGACATATCAACAGTAAGACAATTTCAAAAGCCTTACACTGTAACTAGGACAACATAGACCATTGTTGTTGTCTTTACATTGCAATGACTTTGAGAAAAAAAAAATCACAAACTGGAGATAATTTTTATGTCTAACCCTCTAATCTAGACAATTTAGATCGTCTAAATTCCTACAATTGTGGTCAGATTGTTTTTTATTACTTGGTGGATGGGATTAATTCTGCCATGACCAAACCAAGCAATGCAAAAATCCGTATCAAAGGTTGCACCATTGCCTTTCAAGTAAATATACATCTTTTCGTTGGTTTTGATTACATTTTATTTTACCACGTATAGGTAGATGATATTGATTTTATGTTTAATTAAAATAGATATGGGCACTTGAGCATTTTTTTTTATCTTTTAAAGGTAATTGATGAGTGACTTCCCTCGCCTTTTCCATTGATTGATTGTCTATATGAAGGATTCAGAGGCAAAATGTGTCTTCTTTAACGCCAATGAGGTTGATATAATTTATATTTCTAATAAGAAATCTATTTATTGTTTTAATATTGGCAAAATGTGCCTTCCTTGAAGATGTTGATGTTGGTCACAAAGATGATGATAGTACGAGTTCACTTGCTGACTTCAGTACACCACTTTGTATCAGTAATTATTTTTATCTTTTATGTTCAAATTATTGTTGATACTTTTATTTTTTTATTAAAGCTGTGGTGTATAGAGCCTAGAAAATAATGGAAACATCTGTAATAAAAATTCACATCCAACCTTGCATGAGTTTAGAGGAGATTGTCAAATTAAACAAGAAATTGTTGGAGGCTCAAAGAGAGAGAATTAGGAAGACACCTTTTGGGTGGTTGCTGAAGCTATCTGATGAAAAATCTCATCAGATAAGCAACATGCTCTTAGCAGAGCTACTCTAGAGGTAACATAATCAAACATTTAAAATTTGATTTAACTAATTAATTTTTCAATTATTTTTTTTTTTTCATATTTTAGGTAGGAGGGCCGAAATTCTGCATTTAGAATCAACAACAAATATGTGAAGTTTGCTATTAAAGAAATTTCCTTAATCCTTGGCATGTGTACCCAAGGAATTGAAGTTGAGTTAACAGGCAATAGTCATCCATCTATTGTCCATAACTTATGCGGTGAAAGTATCATATATTCTTCAATTATAAATGTCTTGCAATAAATGGTGACAATATAGACAATTATTATCGTCTTTTACTACAAAAAAATTTTGCTATTTAGTGGTGGTTAAATTTTTTAATCAGCAGCGATTTTACCCGCCATTAAATAATATTTTGATGGTTAACTAACCAACAATAAAATTGGCCATACTAAACTAAATTGTAGCAATTTTTTAGTGGCAGTTAATAAATAAAAAACCACCAGTAACTAAAAATAAAAATTAAATAAAAAAAAGTATTAGTAGCAATTTTGAACCATCGCTAAATTTTTAAAATATATATATATATATATATATATATATATATATATATATATATAAAATATTGTGGCAGTTTTAACCACTGCTAAATTATAAAAAAGTTAAAAAAGATTGTGGCGATTTTAAACGCCACTAAATTATATAAATGTATTAAAAATTTGCTTGTAAAAATATTAAAAAAAGGTTGTGGTGGTTGAAACTAACACTAAATTTAAAATTTTTTTAAAAAAAATTAAATATAATTGTGACATTTTTTGTGTTGTAACTACCGTTAATTATAATTTTTATGACAGTTTTAAATTGTCAATAAATTTTAAAATTAAAAAATTTATTATTAATAACCGCTATTATGTATTTATTTATTTATTTTACTTTATTATTACTATGCATTCAACCTGATCACAACAAATTAAAATTAAAATATCCATAGATTTA